GCAACCCCATAGAACCCCCTCCCCCACTCAAAAAGCCTCGAATAGAATCGCCTGCAGCAAACCAAGAGGCAGCGCCTTTGCTTTTCCGTGGCCCAGCCAACTGCCCGGAGCGCCAAACCCGCTTCAGCTGTCAGGCACGCATTGTGATTCACATGGTCAACAAACATGGATTCACACACGCGCGCACACTCTGAAAAGCCAAGCATCCGACAGCTGCGCGGCCACCGGACACCCCGCCAGACCCAAGGCCCAAAAGCACAAATCTGGACACGGCAACCGATCCCAACCCGATCACCACAAAGCGCCGAGAATAATTCGTTTTCACCTTACGCGCGGCGCTGTACAAAACGCAGGCGGGGTTAGCGCGGCACTTTCACTGCTTTTCCCACCCATAATGCCAAAAAATAGAACGAAACGACGGCGGGAGGTTGAAGAGAAGGCCAAAGACTCGCCTTTTCAATGCCACCACTGTGGATTTAGGACCCTAACGAAGACGGGGCTCTTATCCCACATTCGTGTCAAGCATCGCCCCCCACAAAAGCCACCACGCGCAGCGGCCNGATTTAGGACCCTAACGAAGACGGGGCTCTTATCCCACATTCGTGTCAAGCATCGCCCCCCACAAAAGCCACCACGCGCAGCGGCCCCACGACAAAATCTAAGTTGTCCGATGTGTTACAAGGCCATTTACAATGCTGGAGGAATGGCAACCCACATCAAATATAAGCACCCTGGCAGGCCGAGCAATAGCATGTAAGAACCAAACAAAGAAACACCAAGGCCCCCAAAGGGAGAGAGAGAAAGCGAGAGATAGAGAGAAATCCACTGCCTTGCGCGCTGCCCCCATAAAGCAGTAAGTAATTGACGAAACATTATCACATCCCCCAAAGCGTACGAGAATAGAGGCATCTTTCCAGATGGAAGCACCAATAAAATACGATGGAAAAGAGCCCCCGCCACCAGAGCAGCAGAAAGAAATACAACGCAAGGTGTGCTTGAAAAGGTTCGCTGCTATTGATTCTGCCTGCTCACACTGCAGACAATTTTATGAGAGCCAAGGGGCACCCACGGCAGGAAAACCCCAGGGGCTCAAAGAGGATGCCCCCGAGGACCTGGCCCCCCTGCCTTTCTATGCCCAACATGCGGGCACCAGCGCCACAGCAAACACGGACCCACAAGGCACCGCATGAGCACACATGGGTTCAAGCTGGGCGCCGTTAAACCAAGCCAACGCAGAGAGTACAAAGAGACAAGCTTGCACCTCGTGGGCTGCCCCGCACCAAAGTGCCCCCACTGCCACTTTAATGCGGGCGGGGGAAACATGGAGAAGCTATGCTTCACGAAAGGGTTCGCTTAACACCTTCTTGCATTAAAAAGGCATTGTCCTCAACAGACTTCCCCGAAACAAACGATGACTACCATAAAATGGGAGCAGGCGCGCCCCATTCTCCCCTCTAAGCTCCACTAGTTTATAGATTTTTGACGAGCCCATCGCCAAACGAGCCGCCCCTATGCGCTGCTTTGGCCCACAAAAAGCGGCAAGTAGGCTTACGGGGTGCTGAGTGAGGGTTGCAGCCGCCAGAATTTGCCAGCGTGTGTTTTCCGAGACAGGCGGTCCTGCAATGTATTAAATTACACGAAAGTTAAGTAAAACAAAAAAAAAATAAAGAAAATGTGCTAGCGCAGAATTGTTCCAGTCGGCTGTTTTTCTGGGCCCCCACCCCTATACCAACCGCGCTTCTGTCCCGAGGGGCTGGTTACACCTTTGGTTCCACGAAACGAAGAGTCACATTTTGACGCCGAGCACGTGAAAAGAAGGTGGTGTAAGAGAAAGCATGCCCCTGTTGAAGGGCCCATTAAGGGATCATGTCTCTAATGATAGTCTGGGTAAAAACAGTTTTCAGCATGCGGTTGGACAGAATAGTCTGGGTCTTACTTTCTTGGATAGGAAATAAAAGAATAGTAAGATATTGTTGCCGTCAACGCTTGCCTTTCCGCATCTTAACATATAGGGAAAAAACTTTACGAAGGGAAAGCAATTAATTATTTTTGTTGGTTTTTAGTTTGGGAACAACCAAAAAAGGCCAATTTAATTTTTTTAGCTTCCTGCGCTTTTCTTCGCTAGTTCCACAACGTTGCCGGCTCAAGTGCTTTACGCCCCGATATCTGAAAATACTGTTTACAGGATATTCCAAAAGGGAACGTCGCGCCAAGTGCCGTCTACCTTCAGGTCTTTTGATACTCCATCGATTTTTTCCACTTACAGTATCTTTGTCTTTGAGTGCGCGTTTACTTCACGCACTATATGCTTAATGTCGGCGGCATCTAGACAGGTACGAAGCGACACCCCAGGATGTTGGCGGAAGACCCCCAAGGCCAGGCGAACCGCGCGAGCAGACGCTGATGAAACAATGCGGGGCGCTCTGCTCCAAGCGCCCCCGATGACGAACACCCCCACCCGAACTTTAAATAATAAGGCTTACCGCCCGCACGCTGGCGCATCTACGGCAAGGGTGGTGGAATTGGGCGCCTTGTGTCGGAGTGGGCCGTTTCACTTGCCAGTGAACACCCTAGCCATTTCTGAGCCAGGCGGGCGCGAGGTGTGGTTGCCCTGCTGAATCCTGAGGGTGTGGCGCACTTCGGTCTTATTGCGACAACTGCCGATTCACCATATTCAGGAAAAAATAATAGGGGAAAAGAGAGTTTCTCTGCCCGGCGGCCGCATACATCATGCGGGATGCTGTACTTTCTATTTCTTGTACGAAGAATCTGTTAAATGACGGTGCGTCCCGCAGTCGTCTTAAAGTGTTTTCTTGGCTTAGCGATGTCGTCTGCAAAACGTGATTAAAGTGAACTCCTAAGAAAACTTATTTCTGGCATTAACGCTGCCGCTTGCCGACTATGGTGCCGCATTGGCTTATGTTTTCTGACAAGCGTTTCCCCGCTGATCCAATAGAGAAGCTGACCCACCGATGTGTACGTTATCTATCCATATGTGAATCCTCTTTGCGAGCTCTGCTGCATGCAGCGTCTCTACGACCTCAGGAGTCCACGCCGAAACCCTAGCAATGGTATGCTGCATCTCAGGAGAGCATTCGTGTTCCTTTGAAAGGTGAGTTACTTTACAAGCTCATTAGATTCAGTCGGACACCGAAAATTTGCTCGTATGGCTTTTAGCAAAGCGACTCAGAATAGTTTATACCGCACCTTTCCTCTATTAAGTAAAAGGAGAGAGCAGGAGAGGACTTACATTTAATTCTCATCGCGAAAACAATGCCCCTAGTTTCCATAGTCGGGGATCTTCCAGTAATATCCAAACATTGTATTTATAGAGAAGTTAAAAAGCTTGCAATCAACTGAAGAAAAAGAGGTGCTAAAAGCACCCTTAACCCACCTCCCACGCCCCCCTTCGCAAGTTCCACCCCTTTGCAATATCCGCCGGTAATGCCTTAGCCCCGCTTGAGATGCCATCCGCAGGATTATTTTCCGACGCGACATAGCCCCAGGTGGCGTTTAGGCCCTGGTCGCGCAGCGCCCTGTCGATATGCCCCGCCCCTGCCGCCAATGCATCGGAATGCTTGCTGCTTTTGTTCATAATATGCATTGCTGCGGCGGTGTCGATGCATATGTGGGATGTGGTAGGCAAATTCCCCATGAAAGCGAGCAGGGCCAATCCGGTGGCCCTCGCTTCGGCCTGTGTAATGCTGTGGGGGGCTTTTTCCCACGCACCCCCCGTGGCCCACACACCCCCCCCATTATCCTTAAACAACAACGCGCCCATCCATATAAAGAGGCGCCGGACACTAAAACCCCTGAAGTCGGTATAGCTCTTGGGGGTTTTGCCGGATTATCCTGCAAAGAAGTATCCAACCATTTCCGCCCGACCTTAAGGGCAAGGGGGTAAAGCTGCTGGACCTTGGGCCTCTATCAGGCCCCTGTTTAGTCATGGCAGCCTTCGGCGCACCATTTTTAAAAAGAAATAATGACGGAAATGTGAACCCCCGCCGCACACATCGTGCGTGAAGTTGGGTCTTTCAATTCCCCAACCAAATTCTTTCGGAGGGGCGTAACGCTCTTCAATTTCTGCAATGTTTTCTCACTGAGAAATACCGTCTTAGCCGCGTGGTTGAAACAAAACCCTATGAATTCATAACGCGCGGTGGGGGCCTCATGGCCCCCCGCTATCGCGCCGCATTCGCGCATGTTTTCCTCAACGATGCCCCCCCAAATCCCTACGCTTTTACGCGGCCTTCTAATACGACCATTACCTTTCCACACGTGTAGAGTTGATTCCGGCGGGGCTGCATAAGGCGGTTTGACGGCTCCTCGGTCACCTGCCAAAACCCTTGCTTTGGTATGCGCAATTTCCGGGCCGCGTTTGCTCCCCATGGGGGGCCGTGTGAACTTTACCAGCTCACCCTTTTCCGTACGACAACGGAAATTTCTGGGTCTGTTTGCTGGCAAGGCTGCCTGAAAAAAAATGACTTTAGATCAAAAATGACAGCCGTCCCATCATAAACCGCACCCAGGTACTGGCAAAAAAATGCCCCAGAGGATCCATAGCCTCCTTGTCCTCTTGTTCATTTTTTTTTTTGCCTTTGGGCCATGCTATGAAAAGGCGGCACAGCCCCGACTGTTTTTCCTCCACTACCGTAAAAGGCACCACCCACCCGGTAGTGGGTAGCTTTGGTGCGGTTTGAATAATACCAGCCCTCTTCATAACCTGGGCGCCCCCTCCTGCCATTCTCAAGAGAGGCCCTCGTTCCCCTGTCCTGAAAATAGCTGGCTGTTGCGCCAAGTCCCACACTGCGTTAAACCGTTCCAGAGCCTTAGAATTGAGTCGGCTCCAGACCCAGCGCAGTGAGAGAGTATCTACATCTACCTGTTGTAACGGTAACTTGCTTTCATCGTTCTTATCGGTCACCCGCGTGCGATGGGTACGTCGCAAAATGCTATGCCCCTGAAAAAGTTGTACCTCATCCTTCTCCCTATCCGGATAGGCCCATGGAGTCAGAGCCCATTTGCTGACCTCGTTTACATATATGCCGTCAGGTGTGCGGATTTGTTGGCCAAAGCGACCCACGGCCCTATGTAGCGAGCTGTGCTGCGTGGCGGCTCTGGGGGGTCTGCGTGTTTCCCCAACTGAGCCCGCAGTCGAGGGTTGAGATCGTGTTCGATCACCGCTGCGGCTGCATGCGCCAGTGCCCCTCTTTTGA